GCTAAGCGGCTCGCGCGAGGCGATCGAGGCGTCAATCCGCTGGACGCGGCTTGCCGCGAGCACGACGTCGCCTATTCGCGGAGCGACGATCTCGCCGATCGGCACGTCGCGGATCGGACGCTCGGAGCGAGAGCGTTCGAGCGTATCCGGGCCGGGGATTCGACCCTCGGCGAGAGAGTGGCGGCGTCGGCCGTATGGGCGGCTATGAAGGCGAAGACGAAACTAGGAATGGGTATGGCTGGAGCGCGAAGAGGCGCGAGAAAGAGCGGCGGGGGCGGCAAGAGAAGAACGACCACGACGAGGAGGACGACGACGAGAGGACGGGTTCTTCCCCGCGGCGAAACGCGGCGGCTTCCTGCCGCTGTTGCCGGCGCTCGGAGCTTTAGGATCGCTGATCGGCGGAGCGGCCGGCGTGGCGAAGATGGTGAACGATGGTAAGGCCGCGCGTCGGCAATTGGAGGAGCTGCAGCGACACAATCGAATGATGGAGGGCCGCGGTTTGTATCTCGCGCCTTACAAACGCGGCGGAAGCATCGCGAGACGAGGCAGACGAACGGTTAGGAGGAAGAAGAAGAAAAAAAAAAAGTCGCGTCTTCGCGCGCGTTAGACGACGTCGTAGCTCCGATCGGCGTCACGACGAACGAACAGTTGAACAGCGCGGCCAAACGCGCTCGCGTGCGTCACTTCAGAGGTGTGTTCATGCGCGACGCGTTGCCGGCGCGAGTTCGTCGCGACGAGAATGGTATCGTGAACCTGGACGACGCCTCGGGGCCGGGCACGCATTGGGTGGCGTACGCTAAAAGGGGAAAAGACGCTATCTACTTCGACGCTTTCGGCAATCTTCGGCCGCCTCGAGAACTCGCGCGTTATCTCGGACGCGACACGCGCGTTGCGTACAATCGCGACTCCCAGCAGACGTACGATCAGAGCGTCTGCGGACAATTGTGCCTGCGCTTCCTTCGACGAGTCGATTGGGGAGGAGGAAGGAGGAAGCCCTTCGGTCTCTAACGGCGATAGCGCGCGTCGTCATGTCGCTGATTCTCACGCTGACCAGAAGAAGCAACGTTCTCACGGCGAGTTACTTTCCGCCTCTCGATCTGAGCGACGACGATTACGAGCTCGGCCTGACCAATTTCGAGACCTACAACACGATTCCGAACGTGAATTCCTCGAACAATAAATTTTACTTCGACGACAACGACGAGACGATCGCGATCCCGATCGGATCCTACGAGCTGCGTGACATAAGCGCGTATCTGAGAGCCGCGATTCTTCGAAGACGGCGACGACCGCCGAGCGCGAGTACCGGAGGGAGAGACGGCGGCGATGGCGCTAGCGCTAGCGACGACGACGACGAGGAATATCTGTACGATGTCGAGGACGCGGAGGACGAGAGCGGCGATCGCGTTCTCGCGCTACGCGGCAACGACAATACCATGAGAAGCGAAATCAAATGCGCGTACCGAATTAATTTCACCAAACCGGACAATATCGGATCGTTGTTAGGTTTCTCCCAGTCTCGCGTATTGCGGCCGAACAAATGGTACGCGTCCGACGTGCCCGTGAGCATTATCGCGGTTAACACGATTCGCGTGGAGTGCAACCTGACGACGGGCGCGTACGTGAACGGGAGATCCGCTCACGCGATACACGAATTCGCGCCGAACGTCTCACCGGGATACTAAGTGTCGGAGATCCCGAGGCAGATCATTTATCTGCCGGTCATCGCGCGACTCGTGACCGACGTATCGCTGCGCGTAGTCGATCAGGACGGTCGATTGATCGATTTCCGCGGCGAGGAGATCTCGATTCGACTGCACGTGCGGCGCAGACGATAGAGAGCGCGCGGCGAGACGGGACGATGCTCGTCGTGCGCGAATCTAGCGTCGCGGCCAACGTCGCTTTTCTGCGATCCATGGGTTTCGTACCGAGAGCCGCGCGATAGTTCGACGACGACGACGACGACGACATGAGGGACATTCTGAGCATCGGCGGGGAACCCGTCTTCGACGATCGCATCGTGAAGATCGAGAGTCACACGTACAATCCGTACCAACACCACTTTCGGATACAGCGACGAGATACGAATACCCATACAACAACAGGACCTATACACGCTGCCGTGCGAGAGTTTTCTCTACGTCGAAGGTAGACTGCACGCGAAGAATAATCCGCCGCCCGCGTCGAGCGGCGAATCGGGTAAGTCCGCCTCGGCCTCTAAGGAGCCGTCCATGCCCTCGACGCCGGCGTGGCTCGTGAACAATTGCGTCGCCTTTATGTTCGAGGAGATACGTTACGAGCTCGATGGCGTGGAGATCGATCGTAATCGCAACGTCGGAATAACCAGTACGATCAAGAACTACGTCTCGCTGACGGCCGAACGAGGCAAGATCTTGAAGAACGCCGGATGGGATCTCGCGACTGGACCGAGCGGCGTCGCGTCGACGGGCGACTTCAACTTCTGCTTTCCTCTCGACACGCTGCTAGGTTTCTGCGAGGATTACAGACGCGTCGTCATCAACGCGCGTCACGAGCTGATTCTGATAAGAGCGCGAAACGACAACAATTGTCTGATATCGCGCGAAGAATTCGAGCCGAGAGTCGAGCTCGCGAAGATACAGTGGCGCGTGCCGCACGTGGTACTGAATGACGTCAACAAATTATCGCTGTTGCGCACGTTGGACAGCGGCAGATATCTGAGCGCGCCCTTTCGCTCGTGGGATCTCTACGAGTTTCCGCTCCTGCAGAGCACGACCAAACATTCGTGGGCCGTAAAAGCGGCCACGCAGCTCGAGAAACCGTGTTACGTCATCTTCGCGTTGCAGACCGGAAGGAAGAACATCCTGTCGCAGGACGCTTCTAGATTCGACGCGTTCAATCTGACTAACGTAAAGTTGTATCTCAAATCCGACTTCTATCCGTACGACGATATGAATTTGGACTTCGATAAGAACAAGATCGCCGTACTGTACGACGCCTACGCGAGATTTCGACGAACGTATTACGGATCCGCGAGCGACGAGACGCTCCTGACTATGAACAAATTTCTATACTGCGGCTCGCTCGCGGTGATAGATTGTTCCCGCCAAAACGAAGCGATTAAGAGCGCCACTGTGGACGTTCGTCTAGAATTCGACTGCAAGGACAACGTTCCTTCTAACACCACGGCGTACTGTCTAATCATTCACGATCGCGTGGTGGAGTACAATCCGTTGACGAACGTCGTGCGTAAGATCCTGTAAGACGACGCGTCGGACGGGAGGGGGGAGAGAGGAAACTCGAAATCGCGAAGATATCGGGGAGAGACGCGAATAAACGTCAGTATCTCGCGACGATGACCGCGACGATGACCGCGACGACGGTCGCGGGCGATATCGTCTCGCCGATCTTCATAGATTTGCAGAGTTTCGTCGTCAACGAGCGATTCGTGACGAAGGAGATGGCGATACTCGCGAACGGCAGAGATCTGACGCATCACGTCTTTCGCGCGCCGATGTCGTGGAATCTGCTGACGAAGGGCGAGAAGTCACAGGCCTGTTGGCTGACTCTCAATCACCACGAATTTCACTGGACCGACGGACACGTGGAGTATAGGCACGCGAGGCAGATCGTTCGCGACGCTATGTATCGCGCGTCGAGGGATCTCGCGTCGAACGCCGCGGTAACGATCTACGTCAAGGGTCTCGAGAAGAAGAGGTGGCTGGTCGACATCGCGGGAGAGGTCGCGGAACAGCTCGACCTGACGATGGAGACCATCGATGCGGATTACGAGGATATCGGACCCCTTCGAACTCTAGCCGCGACTCGCGTCTATCGCTGCGGCTATCACTCGAAGAATTGCGCCTTGGAAAACGTGTGCAAACTGCACGACTGGTGGTTGGAGAGACGCGATCAATTGCGCGACATGTGAACGGAGACGCGTCGTAGATTAGTCTTACGCGTACTCTTATCGACGACTTATCACCCTGCCTAAAAGTATTATTAATACTAAGAAGAAAAAAATAATATTAATACTAAGAATATTAAAATAATATTAATACTAAGAATATCAAAATAATATTAAAAAATAATATTAAAAAATAATATTAAAAAATAATATTAAAATAATATTAAAATAATGTTAAAATAATATTAATCAGTGTTCGAAATGCGTAATCGATTATCTCAATGTAAAATTTCGCGTTGCTAAAATCCGTATTTCAAATCTAACGGGCATCGAGAACTTTCTCGAGCCTTCGTTCGGTAAACAAAAACTCGAACGTTCGAGTCACCGCTCGTTTTTGCACCGCCTAAAAACGCTTGAAATTAAGCGATTGACAATAACATTGTCAACCGCCGTCAAAACTAAATCAACATACGGGCATGCGCGCCCATACGTCACGATCAGCTGATGGCCAATCAGCTGATCGAAAAAGGTCGTGCGCATGGCAAACGTCACAACGCTATTTCCTGACCTCATCGGCGGCCAATTATGCGCGGCGCCATGAGGTCACCGCCAAACTTTAAAGTTAATTGGGCCACGTCGCGACGGGGCCCAAAAATCCGCCCGGTATATAATGAGCCCAGCGAGAGGGCACGCGGAAGTCTCGCACTTTTCGCTTACCATACCGCTTAATCTTACCGCTCAGTCAAACCGCAAATATTAAACGACAACCGCTATTCTTCTCGGACTTTGATTTTCCGCACGCTCGATCTGTCTCGCCGCTCGCGATCTCCCGCGAGTTTAACCGCTTCGCTTGTCGTATCGCTCGTTGCACTGTACACTTGTCACGGTCATCGTTGAACTCTAATAAACTATTGTTTTGTGTGATTATCACGAGTTTCACTGCACTGGCCTATCCTCCACGTTCGCGCAATTTCTTGCCGGATCCGCTCGCGAACATTTCTGGTCCTTCGAGCCGGATATTTTACCATCATCCGCGTCCGCTGTTTCGTGAGTGATCCTCTCGTGCAGTTGGTGGAGTGAAGTGACCTCTGAAAAGACAAAAGGAACATTAGACATGAGTGCTGAAGTGAAGGTGCTGCTGGAAGCACAGCACGACATTCATGGTCGGATCTCCCGCGCCGTGGACAATCTGAGGAAGATGGGCGTGAGCAACATCACCCGCGACGCCATCCAAGCTCGCCTCGGCATCCTGGACAATCTCTGGCAAAAAATGGAGACCCAGCATGAGCTCATTCGTGCGGCGCTGAAGGACAAGTATCAGGAGAGTGAGTACGCTGTATCTGATTTTATTGAAGTCGCGGAGAATACTTACGTGACACAACGTAGCACGCTGACCAGCTACGCTGAGAAGCTTAAGGGCGAGACGCCCGCCGCGCTCAGAGGCGAGCCGGACCACGATCGGGCTCCTAAAACCTCGTTGCCGCGCATCAAGCTTCCGACGTTTGCGGGATCTTACGAAGAATGGCCGTCATTCCGCGACCTCTTCCAATCAGTCATCGGGGCGAATGAGTCAGTCTCCGACATCGAGCGATTTCACTACCTCCGGTCTTGTGTCAAGGGAGCCGCTGAAAAATTGATAAAATCATTAACGGTGACCGGTGATAATTACCATCGCGCTTGGACGATTTTGTGCAAGCACTTCAAAAACAAAAGGGAGCTTATCCGTTCTAATTTCGCCGCGTTCACCTCCGTTCCCAAAATGAAGTGCGAGTCAGCGGGAGAACTCGGTCGCATTCACAACGCCGTAACGACCGCGGTGAACGCGCAGGAGAGTATAGGGAGACCCATCAACTCCCACGGTATGGATCTCCTCAATTTTCTCACCGTCGAATTGTTCGATTCGCGTACACGGATGGAATGGGAGTCCTCGACCTGCGACTCCACTGATCCGCCAGACCACGGCGCCCTCGTCAGCTTCATCGCTAAGCGCATTCTCACGCTAAATGCCGCGAGGCCGCGAGTATCGCAACCAACCTCCGATGGCGCGTCGCGAACCGCGAAAGCTCACCACACGAAGACCGGATCCGATCACTTGAAGTGCGCACTGTGCCAGGGGAAGCACACCCTCATGCAGTGTAACGACTTCAAGGCGAAGTCCGCGATAGACCGAAAGTCCTTTGTAGAGCAGGGTAGACTGTGCTACAACTGTCTCGGGAACCACATGATCTTCAAGTGCCAGTCTGTGAAGACCTGTCTGACGTGCAAGAGCAAGCACCACACTACACTGCACGACGCGTACACTTCGCCCTCCTCCAACGAGGTGAACGCCCTGTCTGCGATGCACCCCTCATCTGAGCGTAAAGCGATCCTCCTCGCGACAGCTCGCGTGCATCTCACTGACCGCGCCGGGGATCTTCATCCGGTCCGAGCGATGCTCGATCAAGGATCCGAGGTGTCGATCATCTCCGAAGCACTGGTCCAACGGCTGAGACTTCCCCGCTCCCGCTCCTCAGTGTCCATAATCGGCATCGGCGAGTCACGATCCGGGTCAACCCGCGGGAGAGTGGCACTCAGTCTCTCCTCGATGATCACCGGGGCCAAACTCAAGGCCGTCGCCTTCGTGTTACCGCGCCTGTCGGCCTATCAGGGTTCTTCGGTGAAGAACCTCCCCTCCTGACCTCACGTTCATGGTCTTGAGCTCGCCGACCCCAGGTATCAGGAGCTCGATCCGGTAGAACTATTGTTGGGCGCGGAAGTCTGCTCAGCCATCCTTGAGGTCGGCCTTCGCAAGGGTGGTCCTCAAGATCCCGTCGCCCAGAAAACAGCCCTGGGATGGATCCTGTCAGGAGGGTCCAGCGCAGCACCCTTCCAAGGACTCCGTAACTCCTTGCAGTGCACTGTCGACCAAGAGCTCAATCAGCTTGTGCACAGCTTTTGGGAACAGGAAAGGGAACCCCCCTCCCCTGTTGCCCTTATACCAGAGGATCAAGAGTGCGAGACCCTCTTCATAAGTACTCACCAGCGAACTGCGTCCGGAAGATATGTAGTACGACTGCCGTTTTCTTCCCCGCCAACGTCGCTTGGTGGAACCCGTAAACCGGCTGAAAGCCTCTTGTCAGCGATGGACCTTCGGAGCAAGAGAGATCCTGAGTTCGGCGTCCGGTATCGGGAGTTTATGCAGGAGTACGAGGACCTGAAACACATGAGTCCTGTGACTACGGTCGGTACCGCAGGATGCTACCTACCTCACCACGGAGTCCTCCGCCAGTCCAACTCCTGCAGCAAGCTCCGCGTCGTCTTCAACGGGTCGCAGCGTATCGCCTCGGGGGACTCCCTCAATCGACATCTGCTGATCGGCGCCAACTTACTGCCAGCACTAGCTGATGTCCTCCTTCGCTGGCGCCGGCACCGCTTCGTGTTCGTCACCGACATCGAGAAGATGTTCCGGCAGATACTCGTCCACCCTGAAGATCGTCGCTTCCAGCGGATACTCTGGCGTCCAAAGGCTTCCGGCAAGATCCAAGAGTACGAGCTCAACACCGTGACCTACGGGCTCGCCTGTGCTCCGTTCCTCGCTGTCCGCACTCTCCAACAATTGGCGGCCGACGAAGAGGCACGAGCCCCGAAGGGAGCAACCGCTCTGCGCCATGACTGCTACATGGACGACGTGATCACCGGGTCGGACACCTTGCAGCACGCGGTCGGAGACGCCCTGCAGACGGAGCTCCGAGAGCTCTGCACGGCGGGCGGGTTTCCGCTGCGGAAATGGGCCGCCAATAGCGAGGCCATCCTTGAGGGTGTTCCTCCCGATCACCGACTCAAACAGGCATACCATTCCTGGGAGAGCGAGGTACACTCCACCTTAGGCCTGCGTTGGCATCCGGCCAGCGACGACTTCTCCTTCGCCATCCAGCCTCGAAGCACTGGCGAATTCACTAAGAGGCGAGTCCTGGCGGAAACGGCACGGCTATTCGACCCTTTGGGATGGCTCGCTCCTGTGATCATCCGCGCCAAGATCTTAATCCAGTCAGCATGGTTGAAAAGGCTGGACTGGGACTCTCCGCTCCCAGCGGAGGACGCTCAGTCTTGGCAGCGCCTCCTCTCCGAGCTCCATTTGCTGGAGCGCCTCCGAATAAGGCGCTGGCTGGGTGTCACTCAACAGGATCCGACGGTCGAGATCCACGGCTTCGCCGACGCGTCTGAGCGTGGATACGCGGCCGTCGTCTACCTTCGCGTGCCCAGTACGGAAGAGACGTCCATCCACTTACTGGCCGCGAAAAGCAAGGTCGCGCCGATTAAGCCCGTGACGCTCCCACGGCTGGAACTCTGCGCTGCCTCCTTGCTGACCAACCTCGTGTACCACCTCCGGTCATCACTGGAGGTGTCGGCGCCAGTATATCTCTGGTCCGACTCCAAGGTTGTCCTCCACTGGATCAAGGGTCATGCTTCACGGTGGAAAACCTACGTGGCCAATAGAGTGTCGCTGATCCAGGAGCGGCTCCCCGAAGCGCAGTGGCGACACGTCCCGGGTCAAGAGAATCCTGCCGATTGTGCTTCCAGAGGGATCGCTCCGAGGGATCTGCTGAACCACCCCCTATGGTGGGAGGGCCCCGGCTGGCTTCTCGGCGACTCGTCACTATGGCCAGCCAGCGACGAGGCATCAATGGTCAGCGTTCCTGAAACAAAAACCACGGTATTAACGGCCATCAGCAAGGTCAGACCGGAGCCTGAAATACTCCTACAGTTCTCGACACTGCATAGGCTCTTAGGTGTCTCTGCTTGGTGTCTTCGTTGGCGCCGGACCGCTCGTCATCCTCCCAGCGTCGCCCTGCTCTCGGACGAGCTCGACGCCTCCCTCATTCGCTGGCTGAGAATCGTCCAAGGGATCCACTACGCCGTTGAACTAGCCGCCGTACGAGAGTCTCGCCCAGTGCCTCGCGGTAGCCACCTGGCCAGGCTGCATCCATTCCTCGACGACGACGGGATCCTGCGCGTCGGCGGCCGTCTGAAACACGCAATACTCACTTACGATGAACGACATCCTATGATAGCGCCGCCCACTTCATGGCTCACCAAGCTCGTGATAGAGTCTTGTCACCGCCGGACGCTTCATGGAGGCACTCAGCTCACTTTGGGGCTCCTTCGCCTCCGCTTCTGGGTGCCGCAAGGTCGAGCCGTAATCAAGCGGATACTGCACTGGTGCGTGACATGCACCCGCTGGCGAGCCCACACTCCACGGCCCCTCATGGCCGACCTCCCTCGGGGGCGAGTCACTCCAGCACGCCCTTTCCTGAGGACAGGAGTCGATTACGCTGGCCCGATATTCCTCCGCACTTCCAAGGGGCGAGGACATCGAGCTCACAAGGCGTTCATAGCCGTGTTCGTCTGCCTCTGTTCCAGAGCCGTCCATCTTGAGGTAGTATCTGACTACTCCTCTGACGCCTTCCTCGCAGCATTCCGCAGGTTCGTTTCCCGTCGCGGACTGTGCGAGGAAATGTACTCGGACTGCGGAACTAACTTCATCGGGGCGGACAACCAACTCCGAGAATTCTTCCGCGCGTCATCTTCCGACGGCCGTCGCATCTCTCGGGAAGTCGCCAAGGAAGGAATATCCTGGCGCTTCAATCCTCCCGCCGCGCCGCACTTCGGAGGCCTCTGGGAAGCGGCGGTGAAATCCATGAAACATCACCTGCGACGGGTGATAGGAGAGACTACGCTCACCTTCGAGGAGATGAGTACTCTTCTTTCACAAATCGAAGCATGTTTAAATTCTCGTCCATTGCAGGCTTTCTCAGATGACCCCGACGACATCACCGCATTGACTCCAGGGCATCTCCTAATAGGCGCCCCTCTACTGGCGGTCCCAGAGCCCTCATTAGCCGAACGGCCTCCGAACGCCCTATCCCGGTGGCAGCTGCTGCAACGAATGCGTGACCACTTCTGGCAGCGATGGTCTCAGGAGTATGTCCACGCCTTGGCACCTCGATCAAAATGGCTCAACTCCGAGCCCGCTCCGGAGGTCGGAGCATTGTGCCTCCTCCGTTCGGAGATGACCCCGCCTTCCCGCGAATACTCGCGCTGCATCCAGGAAGCGATGGCACGGTCCGCGTTGTGACTGTCCGCACCTCCACCTCGGATCTCGTTCGGCCAGTCGTAAAACTCGTCCTTTTACCGGGAGTCAAGGAGGCTCGCGCGTCCGTAGACGAATAATGCTCGGGCACTATTCTCCCCGCGTTGCGTAGAGTCTTGCGCGCCTCACTATATTGTACATATTGTATATATCGTGTATATATTTTTCATTACAGCTGTCCGTCGTCCATCTCGCGTTCTCGCCGCGATTTCCTCATTCGCATATCACTAGTCACCCACTCACTGTACATTGTGCATCCCCGAGCGATGCACAATTGATCCCCATTAATCATTGCACTTCACATCGCATTACTTTTCATTATTTCACTGTAAATATCACCGTATTTCACTACCGCAACTCTCAGTCTCGCGAAAGATAGAAATCAACTGAACAACACGTGTTGTCGTATTGCGTCACACATTCCATTCATCGATCGCGATCCAGATACCGCCAATTGAACCGCTTGCGACATCTGTCCGTCCCCGTTCATACTCGCGAATTTCGTCACGCGCTGACGAGGCGGGCGGGATGTTCGAAATGCGTAATCGATTATCTCAATGTAAAATTTCGCGTTGCTAAAATCCGTATTTCAAATCTAACGGGCATCGAGAACTTTCTCGAGCCTTCGTTCGGTAAACAAAAACTCGAACGTTCGAGTCACCGCTCGTTTTTGCACCGCCTAAAAACGCTTGAAATTAAGCGATTGACAATAACATTGTCAACCGCCGTCAAAACTAAAACAACATACGGGCATGCGCGCCCATACGTCACGATCAGCTGATGGCCAATCAGCTGATCGAAAAAGGTCGTGCGCATGGCAAACGTCACAACGCTATTTCCTGACCTCATCGGCGGCCAATTATGCGCGGCGCCATGAGGTCACCGCCAAACTTTAAAGTTAATTGGGCCACGTCGCGACGGGGCCCAAAAATCCGCCCGGTATATAATGAGCCCAGCGAGAGGGCACGCGGAAGTCTCGCACTTTTCGCTTACCATACCGCTTAATCTTACCGCTCAGTCAAACCGCAAATATTAAACGACAACCGCTATTCTTCTCGGACTTTGATTTTCCGCACGCTCGATCTGTCTCGCCGCTCGCGATCTCCCGCGAGTTTAACCGCTTCGCTTGTCGTACCGCTCGTTGCACTGTACACTTGTCACGGTCATCGTTGAACTCTAATAAACTATTGTTTTGTGTGATTATCACGAGTTTCACTGCACTGGCCTATCCTCCACGTTCGCGCAATTTCTTGCCGGATCCGCTCGCGAACAATCAGCGAATAAACTCGTATCGCGCGTACGCGGTTGAACGTATTTTTTTCCGGCACTTCCTCCGGAGCAATCGAGAATTTATCGCGCCTCATTAAATTAAATTACCTCGTTATATTTCCGCATTGCGCGATTTTTTTCATATCGCTTTAGATTACGGCGTTAGCATTAGCATTCGACGGAATCACAAAGACTCGGCGATAGCGATATCGCAGATATAAATCAGCGCCGAGAGACCGTTTTTTCCTCAGAATGAGTCTCGCGATCCCGTTGTTGAG